GACGTGTATCAAACGCGAAATAAGGAGAAAACAATTTTGATGCTAAATGAAATTTTTGTCGGCGTACCTACCGGGGTCGGATAATCCAATCTCGCGGTTTTTATGATCATGTCGACGATGGCTGTGAAACTGCCTCTCGCCGCAATATAAAGTGGCGTTCGACCGCTCTGCAAATGTCAAGATAAACTTTGCTTTAACTTTATTATCGAGTTTACGATGGCTATCAATCCGGCATCCCTATCATGTTAACTTTAGTGAGATTAAGATAAAGCATTCGATTCGGAGTTTTTCTGTAAATAACACTAATCAATTTCCCGTAGCATGTGTCACATTGTTGACAAGATCGACCCGTGTCATGTAAGGGCGATTATATCTTTCGTCAAATAAAAGAAGATTATAATTAAGATTAAATGGAATGTGTATGTTATAAGCGTATTATATTATTAGAACTACTCACATACACACACGCACATTAGATCAAATTTTTATATTTGTATAAAAAAAAATTTTATTTTTTTTCTGGTTTTGATTATGTGTAGCGGATTGAATAATTAATTCATAAGCAAGATTTAATTGTATAGTGATTGATTCGTGTTTAATTATAATTCGAGCATATTGTGAGCTTTGAAAATATATCGCAATTGTTTAATGGCGGATTTGTTTAATAATGAAATAATAATGTCTATAAATGATTAGTTAAACGTTGATGAGATATGTTTGGAATATAAACGGATTGAATTAATTATATCGTTAAAGAATAATACCCGATTCCATTTCTAAACAATTCTGAATAGTATTTACCTGTTCTTTTTGTTCGATATTTGCGCCCGCTGCAAGAAGTAATTCACAAATATCCGTATGTCCCATCTCGGCTGCAATATGTATCGGTGATTGAAGTCTCTAAAACAAATCGATATAGAAAAAAACGAAGAAGTTAACAATTTTATTATAAATTTTTTGGTATCTCGAATGGAAGTAGAAAAAATTTTTGATAATATGAATATGTATTATAAAACAATTTAAGTTTTATTTGGGAAAAATTGATATGTGTGGTATTATTTAAAAATTTAAAACTTATACAGTTCTATTAATATTATTAAATATTATTTAATTATTAAGAGTACAGCTTTTTGGAAATATATAATCTATATTTTACATACCAGATTTAGACAATTGAGATCGACACCTTTGTTAATTAATATTTCTACCGTTTCTACTTCGTTGTTTAGACAGGCCAGATGCAGGGATGTGTTACCATTCTGTAATAGATAATTGAAAAAAGAATAAATTTATTGAGTTTGTTGAATGTATTTTTTTCAGGGAACATCTTTTTGCACATCTGTTTTTTTT